ACTTTGCAAAAGGCTTGGGAGTGAAAATAAACAGGGAATTGAAGACTATATGTGTGTGTGTGTGTGTGTGTGTGTGTATATATATATATATATATATATATATATATACACAGTATATATACACACACACACACACACACACACAAAAAGGATAGTTCAGCAATAAAAAACTAAAACAAAAAATATTTTACTTACTTCATGTATGTTGTGATGATTCCAGCCATTAACTTTGGCTTCATTACAATGACAAAGCACTACAGTGATTATGTATTTTTGTAGGCCAACCCAGAAGTTAACATCACCCTGGTTTCTTAAGCAAATAGGAGTTTTCTATTGGCTTTTGGATTATTGCAGAAAATAAGCTCTGTGACCAACAAAAGTTTATGATTCTTACACGTTTAGAAAGAAACAGGATTATTATATTTAATTAAAACCATAAGAATATTGTTTGTTACTTGAAATTAAAAAAAGTTAACTGAAATAAAACATAAAAATGTACTTATTTTATTTCAGCTAGTTTCCAAAGCAACATTTCTCATTTTCATTTAGCTTAACTTGATGTACTAAAATAACTAAAACTAATAAGAATGACAAACACACATAAAATGACTAAAACTTTAACTAAAATTAACACAAAAGCAGAAACTACAAAAATGAAATCTAATTCAACAAAAAATATAATTCTCTACTCTATATTCTAATTACAATCACCAGAAGTAAAAAGCTAAATGTAATCTAGGTTATAAACAAACCATGCTATACTAATTATAAAGACGATGAACTTACTAAAATAAACTTGAAGTATACTACTCTTTGGTAAGGGATAGAAGGGGACTAGTGAGTAGATGAGTTCACCTGTTGGTGTGATGATGTTTACTGTCGCCGACAACCTCTAGTCTCATTTAGCCACTTGTTAGTGATCGTCCTTTTTCAGGGCAAGTAAAAGCTTAAAAAAATTGTGAGTGGGGTTACTGATGTATTTTATGCTGTAAAATAAAACATGAAAATATCTTGAGCTGGTGTTACCACAGACCAAGCATTTAACCAAAAACCCATTGACTTCAGGAAGACTCATTTCTGGGTTTTGGTCTACAAAAATATGTCATGCCTGCATCACTCTATTAAAGCTGGTTATTTCATTTAGGAAGCAACATGTATCATATCAAATCAAATGAGTACGTTGCCTCACTGTACCAGTTACAGGCTCGAGTGCCTCTGTTGACCCTGCCAGAGAACAATACTGTAATCCCAGCCACTTCCCTTCCTCTTAGAGCACAGATGCAAATGCCATCAAGAGGATTAGCTCCCTGCTGCTTAAGGATAATGAGACATTCTGCTGTTCTCAGTGGCTTCTCTCTGTGGCCTGGCAGACAGCCAGCCGCTCTGACGTTTACACCAGCACTGCAGTATCTGTCTGCTGCTCAGATTGACTAAATTTAGGCCACTGCAGTGTTGGGAGTGTGTTTACGGATTCTCTAACAGGTGTTCCTTGAGATTTAACAGGATTGAAAAAAAAACCCAGTCACTAAAGTTTGTGGCAATGATTTTGTGGCATCAATGATTGACCACAAAAACCTGCAGGACTAAATAAAGACCATACCTTAACACTAACACGACCGTTCAAAGCTTTAGAGTCAGTAAGATTTTCTTTCATTGATACAATTGATGCTTTATATAGAATTTATACAAATGTTGTAAATTTTGAACACAGAAAAGTTATGGACAGCTTTAAGTAAGCAGAATTGTCAGATTTCTATTTTGTACTCAGACATTTTAATTGCTTTTAACTTGAAATATTGGAGTAAGCTAATTCATACATATAACTTAAAATTGTCATGTAATCTCAATTTAGTAGAATCGTAGCTATCTTTAACTATAGCTAATACTGTAAAAGTAACCTTACTAATTTATGCACATGCTAGTATTAACATAGCATTGCAATTGTTGAATGAGTATTGCAATATACAATATTTAACGTACCTGTTCTCAAACCAAGCCACATGCTCCGCCTGTCACCATGATGATAACCCCCCAAAAACACACATAACAGAAATGCTTCTAAATTAGCAAAACAAAACATTAAACACTACTAGATCTCCCACTTAACATTAATCTTGCACAAAAGACATTATATAACACTTAATTTTAGCATGTACTCTCCCTTTCGAGTGCCATGGCAAAGCATGCTGAGAAATAGAAATCCCAGCTCAGTTTCTGTTAAAATTGAGTTTGACTAGATCAAAAGAAATGAGTTAATAAAACTCAGATTTCTTAAAATGTGTCCGTTTTGTGAACTCAAAAGAAAAAGAAAGTTCTAAATACTTATAAAAGTTAATTTGACTGAACTAATTTGTTAAATTGAAGTTTGCCCTACTCAAACCAATTATTTTGAATTATTTAGTTATTTTAAATTGTAATAATATTTCACAATATTACTGTTTTTACCATATCAAATAAATGCAGCCTTGATGAGCATAAGAGACTTCTTTCAAAAACATATTTAAAAAATATGACTGACGGTAGTGTAAACAGTTTATTTTGCGGCTTTGAAATGATGGAAAAAAGGAAACAGATCGCTCAGTGACTGCTCTGATGGACTTACGGTGGTGCTAATTTAGTTCTAATCCACTTGGCATGGAAACATGTTCTCATACCTTGGCTTTACGTGGGCTGTAGCCCAAACACAGCTGTTATTTCTAGCCTAAATATCTAAACGTACATTTCTAGTCTATATTCGATCAGAGATTTAGTTTTTGTTATTTATTGTCCTTCTTGATTCACTGCATTTGCCATTTTGCTATGGTCATCATTTTATTCTGAAAACAGATTAGGATTGTGGTAAATGATTGGCTTGAGTTGGCATATGTGTGTAACCTTAGGTAATTGTGTATCATTCTGTGGCAGAAAGTCATGTCATGTCATGTGATTAGATAGTAAAATTAGATATTAGACTTATATGTATGCTAAGTGTGGGTCACTAACATCTGATCAGACTTAGTGACATTAGATTGGATTCAGGAAGTAGTTATTTCGTGTTTGTATTTCTTATTTCTGCCATCATTGCCCTAAGCAAAACTGAATGGGTTAAATGAGTTAAATTGGAATCTGTTAGCTTTTGTGGCAGAAATGGAAGAAATGGTGATCTTGGTGAAATTTCCTCACTCTTTCTAATCTTTTTGAGCTCTCAGTGGTAGAATTCCCAGTGTTTTTTAGGCCAGATTTGAACACATCATGCCACTGCATGTGGTGACATGACCTGCAGTCCACTGACCACCAATGAAAAATTTACACGGGTGTTGTTTCATATTTGATAGACCCCTTCAGAATTTGGCTAGAAAGCTGTTGTGGCCCATATTCTTTTACATGTCTGAAAAAGGAAGATGTGGCTTTGAATTTGAAACCATGTTTTATATGAATTTATGCGCATTGTCACTGCCAGTGGTGTCCAGGTATGACTTTGAGGGTGGACAGATTGACAGCTTGAATGGAAAATGGATTGCTTAGTTTGAACTATTGGTCAGTCATCAGCTTATGTTCAATTATTTTTTTTAAGTAAAACAACTTGACTTGTAAAATCACCTTTTAAATGTCTGTTTACTCATAAAGTAGGTAGTTTTGAATTATCTTCATTTAGGGGGCAAATGTTGATTTATCCAATTAATATAACATCATATCATGTTATTAATTCAAAGAAAAGTTTAAATGATTTACAGCTCTATTTAAAATAAAATAAACACATTTACTATGTCCAAAACATAACATTTCAAACCCTCAGGGTTTAAATGCTAGGTTTTCATTTTACGCACAATCTACATACAATATTTTCTCTCTTTTTATTGTTTATGAAAATCAGAAAAAACATTGTTAACATGTTAACATTATCTTACATTCAGAAAAATGGCACCAAAACCATGTTTTACTAAACATGTTAATTCAAAAATAGACAAAAAGATAAGCTGTAGTTTTGGCGCACACTCCTCCTGAATATGCAGTTATATTTTAGCATTATTTATTTACTATTATAGAATTGATTAATGTTGTAACTTTTTATTTTTCAAAATGTTTGTTTTTTTATTATAGAAAACTTTATAGAGAGAGGGAGAGAGAGAGTTTTCATTTGAATTTTAGCTTATAAAGTCATTTTTGTTATTTTTTATTCTTTTTTCTTTACAAAATATTTCTATATATATTTATTTTATTTTTAATTTCAGTTTTATTATTTTTAGTGCTTTAACTTTTTGATTTAGTTAAAAATAACAATATAGATATTGACAACACTGATACTTGTATACCAATGTTTTAAATTTTTATAGTTCAAAAGTTTTATTTTATATTATATTAAACTTAATGTAAATAATATATATATATATTTTTTTTCCCCGTTTTTATTTTAATTTTATTTTATCATGTGTCTTTCTCATATTTATTTATTTATTAATTTTTTTTTACAAAATATTTCTATATGGCTTTAATTTATTTTTATTTCAGTTTTAGTAATTTTTGTACTTTAGTAACTTTAGTACTTAAACTTTTATTATTTACATTATGCAATTTCACATTAATTAATTTATGCTTTAAAGAATTTCTAAAGTCTGTATCTATTCAAATTTGTAAGTTTAAGTTTTTCCATCTAATATTTAGATTTTATTTTATTGCAGCTTCTTTGTTTTTGTTTTAGTTAACAATAGCAACACTGATGGGGTCCTGTAATTGTGGGAGTGTCTCTGTTGTGCTGCAGCAGTATTATGACATTAACCTGGAAGGTACCATATTGTGTTTGAACAGGGGGTGTTCCATCACACAGTAACACAAGCTGTTTCAAAGTAAATCAGCAAAATTGATTCATACATAAACATGATCTAAAACTCGAATTGACTAGAGTAATACACACAAATCCCCTGGCCTATCATCTATCCCCCTAAATTCCTTCAGCCATCGTCCCCTCTCCTCTTCTCAGAGTTGATCTCCTCCTGTGGCTCAGAGCAGTCAGGTGAGTCTGAGCTGCTGGTGGCATGAGCTGCAGTGACATGCTCAGAAGATTCAATAACAATGTTAGCATGTGCAGTCTGGGAGCTTAAAGGTGCATTAGTGAGCAGAAAGCCTAGAGGACAGCAGTGGGGACAGGCAGCAGACAGACGGATCGTGTCATAAATCAGCCTGGCACAGACTGTGGAGAGAGAGAAAATCTCGAGACAGACATAGCAGAGCATGAGTGCAGAAATGGAGGTGTGGAGCAGTTCAGGAATGGACGAGAGCGAGAGAGACAGCAGCACCAGCCATGATGAAGATGATGAAGAACCAGAGGACGAAGAGGAACCCGACACCGAGGGACTGTGCAGGGAGCTGGTGCAAGGTAACAGAGAAAGATAAGGAGACAAACAGTGTGTGTGAAAGAGGAGTTATTTGTACAGGAGAACTAGAAGAAAGAGCTGCATGCTGTGAGGCAGGAGGAGAGATAGAATGACGTGAATCGTGGAGGTCTTTATTTGCTGAAGAAGGTATTGAAAATGCACAGCATGTCAATAAATCCACATTATCATCTGCTGAAGAATTGATTAGCTCTTTTCTGAGGTTGTAATTGTTTCACCGCCAACATGTGGTTACATTCTCTTTGTATTTGCATGATCTGTTATTTTTGTCATAATGATGGAATCACATGGTATTGTGGAGTGACCGTGTGAGGGGTTTTTACCTTGTTGAAATGGAAGTCCAAAATATGGAGTGTGGATGGATAAATTGCAGATAAATTGTGATTAACCAACATCTATATTTATACAGGTACATCTAAAAAAAAATTAGAATATCATGAAAAGAGGACTTTGGACCACTGAGCAACAGTCCAGTTCTTTTTCTCCACAGCCCAGGTAAGACGCTTCTGACGTTGTCTCTGGTTCAGGAGTGGCTTGACCTGAGGAATGCGAACATTTGTAGCCCATGTCTAGGATTCGTCTGTGCGTAGTGGCTCTTGATGCGCTGACGCCAGCCTCAGTCCACTCCTTGTGAAGCTCCCCCAAATTCTTGAATGGATTTTGCCTGACAATCCTCTCAAGGCTGCGGTTGTCCCTTTTGCTGGTGCACCTTTTCCTACCACACTTGTTCCTTCCACTCAACTTTCTATGAATATGCTTGGATACAGCACTCTGTGAACAACCAGCTTCTTTAACAATGAACTTTTGTGGCTTACCCTCCTTGTGGAGGGTGTGACTGTCTTCTGGACATCTGTCAAGTCAGCAGTCTTCCCCATGATTGTGTAGCCCACTGACCCAGACTGAGAGACCATTTAAAGGCTCAGGAAACCTTTGCAGGTGTTTTGAGGTAATTAGCTGATTAGGGTGTGACACCATGACTTTCCAATATTGAACTTTTTCACAATATTCTAATTTTCTGAGACACTGAATTTTGGGTTTTCATTATCTGTAAGCCATAATCATCAAAATTTCAAGAAATAAAGGCTTGAAATATTTCACTCTATGTGTAATGAATCTATATAATATATGGGTTTCACTTTCTGAAATGAGTGAAAAAAAATATTGACCTTTTTCATGATATTCTAATTTTTTGAGATATATGAAAAAATATATATGATATGAAAAAAATAAATAATATAATTAATTGTCCGCCTTTCCACAAGAGCTAAATCATTTTAATCTGTCCAGTCAGAGAAGCTCATTCCAGTTTTACTGTCCTTAATGTCTTTAATTCTCTCAGTGACGTAAATCACAGCAGAACTGAACTCTTTTCAGGCCAGGTGAGCAGATTTAGCAACAGCTCTGTCCCTGGCCAGGACATTTGGAGGAATGAATGAAAGGACACATGCTGACACTAATCGTAATGTACTTTTTACTACTACCCTGGTTTTGCTTCGGGATTCAGATTTGATGTTGGACATCAATAATACAATTGTTTATTGTATTAGAAAGTAAACAAAAATGTCAGTTTCTGTTTCTAAATGTCTTGAATTTCAGTGGTTTCATGTTCTCGGCAGCCAAAACAAATTGCCATGATTGTCCTCATTCCAGTCGAACTGTATTTAATTAAGTTTGGTTTGTAGTTTTGTTTATTTCATATTTCCTTTTTGTAATGTTCTTGATGGTTTTCAAAACACTCCAGAGTTTCACTGGCTGCACAGTCAACAACAAAAGATTTTCAAAATGTTAATAGGCCTATTTGATTTGCTATCTAAACTGTGACATCGATATGGTCAGTTGCATTTAATTATTTGTGTGGAGCTTAATTGTCCCTGCCGTCTGCATGCAACACTGTCAGCTGCAGTTAAGCATTACGAACAACTGTTTTGTGAGGAACCTCGGAGAAGAATTTTGAACAGGTCTTTATTATTTGACTTGCTATTGGCATTTTTGCATTTGAGTGTCTCTAGTGTAGAAGGTTAACGCTTTATTAATGTGGTCTTTGCTGAGCTAAGCCGTCATTTGCAGAGCTGGGAGACACTGCCAAGCTCTTATTTTAGCAAAGTCAAACGCCTCAGGGAAAGGCAAGAACCAACCAAGTGAAAATACCTGTTCTGAAAACAGCAGAAAAATATAATGCACTTATGTAGAGGGTAGTGCTTTGCATAGGTTACTTAAAAAAATAAAATAATAGAAAGCAGCGTCCTAAACCTCCATTGTGTTCCTTAACACTCAATATCATTTAGTAAATTTATAAATCTTGGACACTTTTTTTTCTTTCCTTTTAATAGAACTGATAAAAAATCATGAGATTTTAATATTAAATATCTTCATTTTATTTTAATATTTAAGTTCTCTTTATGTATTTATTAATAGTTTATAATATTATATTTCTTAAAATAAAATGCAAATAAAAATGCAACCTCTGGAACCTGCCTTGAAAAAGCTGTTCATATATTGCAAATATTTTTGATGACCATTCTTGTTTGATTTTTATAATAAAAATCTCTCTCTAAAGATTTGTTAAACAAGACACAGTTACTAAAAATAATTTTAATAATAATAGGATAATAATAAGATATTATATGTGTAAAATATTGCAATATTGCAATATTTCTGTTACTATATTAATATTTCTATATTTAATGTTTCTATTTAATTAAGTTGTAAATAATTTAAACTAAAAGTAAATGTAAAATAAATTATATCTTTAAATTTATTTAGTTTTATATATTTTTGTTTATTTATATGAATAATGAGCCCTCTGCAACCTGGAAAAGCATCTCTGGTTGTGAATCACTGGCCTAGAAGACATTTGTAAATGCAGGCCTGATCATTTTGAGCAGGGATGAAAATGAGAGAATTAAGCCTTAATGAGGATCAGGCTAAGAGGCTCTTGTTCTTGACTGCATAGATGGCTCTGTTTAACTGTCTCGTCGTGGTTGGGTCACATTGACTCTACAGTGCTGTATAATGCACTTCTGCACAGATCACACTTTTACAAGATGTGTTTTATCAGAGGTGTTTTTTGACATATACAGTGAAATTATTCTGACATCTACTATCATTTCTATTAGATTTTATTTCATGAGCCCATAAGCCAACTTTCAACAGTCTCTGTCTCACGTTCCTCCTCTCAATGTCTTTTTTTCCTCTGCAGTGCTGTGTTCAGAGAGAGTTGGTCAAATCACAAAGACATATCATGACATTGAAGCAGTTACACATCTGCTTGAGGAGGTGAGAGACACAACGTGTCTTGCTTCACAGTCTCAAACATAGCATAAATGATACCACTGTCCTTCCATCGATGCCTCAGTGATGAAATCATAAAAGTCCCGCACATGCTTGTCTTCCTCCGCAGAAAGAGCGGGATCTGGAATTGGCAGCCCGGATTGGCCAGTCGCTTCTCAAGCAGAATAAAGCCCTGAATGAACGCAACAAACTACTGGACGAACAGCTGGAAATCACCACGGAAGAGGTGATTACTTTTACTTTTAAAATACTTTCGCTTGTTTACATCTATCTATCTATCTGTCTGTCTGTCTGTCTGTCTGTCTGTCTGTTCCTCCTCTCAATGTCTTTTTTTCCTCTGCAGTGCTGTGTTCAGAGAGAGTTGGTCAAATCACAAAGACATATCATGACATTGAAGCAGTTACACATCTGCTTGAGGAGGTGAGAGACACAACGTGTCTTGCTTCACAGTCTCAAACATAGCATAAATGATACCACTGTCCTTCCATCGATGCCTCAGTGATGAAATCATAAAAGTCCCGCACATGCTTGTCTTCCTCCGCAGAAAGAGCGGGATCTGGAATTGGCAGCCCGGATTGGCCAGTCGCTTCTCAAGCAGAATAAAGCCCTGAATGAACGCAACAAACTACTGGACGAACAGCTGGAAATCACCACGGAAGAGGTGATTACTTTTACTTTTAAAATACTTTCGCTTGTTTACATCTATCTATCTATCTGTCTGTCTGTCTGTCTGTCTGTCTGTCTGTCTGTCTGTCTGTCTGTCTGTCTGTCTGTCTGTCTGTCTGTCTGTCTGTCTGTCTGTCTGTCTGTCTGTCTGTCTGTCTGTCTGTCTGTCTGTCTGTCTGTCTGTCTGTCTGTCTGTCTGTCTGTCTGTCTGTCTGTCTGTCTGTCTGTCTGTCTGTCTATCTGTCTGTCTGTCTGTCTGTCTGTCTGTCTGTCTATCTATCTAATTTACTGATAATCACTTTTTTAATCATATTTTTATGGTGTTTTTTGGAGCTTAACATACATAGTCACTGTTGTTATATGGCAGGGGTCTTCAACTAAAATTGTTCAAGGTCCAGTAATGAACCCACCAGCCAAAGTCCAGACAATTATATACCTAAAAACATGAATTGATGGGTTTTGCCAGACCAGGGTATTTGCAGGAGTCAAAAGTATGAATTATTATGTTAATTTAAACAGTTATCAATCAATTGATATATTAATTAACATATAAATATATTTTACTGTCTTCTTAATTGTTTAGATTTTTATAATGCATTATCTTCTTGTCAATCCACCATTACGGTTCACATTTTCACATTTTAATTTTACTGAAATCATAAGACTTTCTTTTACCATGTTAAGACTTTATATGGCCTTAAATATGGTACAACTAAATTTAAGACTTTTTTAGGGCCCGTCAACTTTCATCATTTTTGAGAATGCCATAGTTTTTCACTCACTGAACGTTTTTGAGTGAACTATTCCTTTAAACATTTTGTATTACTATTATGTTGTTCAATGCAGCATTTGAATTAAAATTGTTAATATGCTTTATACTTATAAGTAGAGTTTAAAAACAGTGTCCTTCTTAATGATATAATATATGTTGATGCACTCAAGTGTTTTGTGTTATATGAATGCAAACGCTGACTCTGGGTCTGTTCTTACAGATTGCCCAGCTGCGTCATGAGCTCTCCATGAGAGATGATCTCCTGCACTTTTATGCCAGCACTGAAGAGATAGAGCATGCCTCAGAAACACTGTGAGTTTACGTCTCTCTCACACACACACAGTGATCAACAACTTAATTCTGCCATACTGATAAATATCTCGTCCTCCTTCAGGCTTATACAGAATGATTCGTCCTCATCTCTCAGCAATTACATCAATTACGACTTCCTGCAACATAAACTCAAGGGTTTAGAAGAGGAAAACTTTAAATTGCGCACCGAGGTGTGCTTAAATGCATTTGCAAACCATATCAAAAAGTTGTGCTACAGCTAGGTACATGTTTTCCCACCCATCACTGTTTTTTAGGCTAATGAGTTGACGTTTGAGACCAACAGTTACGAGGAACAAGAGCAACGGCTTATGATGGTGTGTGTGGATGAACTCTGTGAGTAAATCACCCATGATGCCCAGCTCTTCTTTTAGTATCTCAAATAAGTTTTCGTGATGACAGACTAAAGTGTCTTCTTCTGCTTTCTCTCAACAGCAACAGTGAATAAGCAGGTCGTGTCTCTGTCAGAGGAATTGGCCCGGAAGGTGGAAGATTCGTTAAGACAACAAGAGGAGATTAGTGCCCTCCTGGGACAGATTGTGGACCTGGAGCAGCGCTGCAAAGGGGTCAGACACACACACACACACACACACACACACACACTCTCTCTCTCTCGCTCTGTTTTTCTTTTACATCATTTAGAGAATACATTTTTATAAACAAATACATCGAATTTCCTTCCAAATTCAGCTCACCGCTGAGAACGAGGAGTTAACGCAACATTTGAATGCTTCCCGGGAATGCCAGTCGCAGATTAAAACAGAGGTACATTCCTCACAATATCAATATCACAATATGCCTCCTAGCATTCTACTCCTGATTTATTGTTTTCGATAAATGGCTTTTGTGCCTCGAGTGCCAGTTGGTGATGTTCTGTCTTCCTCTGGTGGCAGGTGAAGGAACTGCAGGAGAGGTACTCCGAATGTGAAGACATGCTCCATGAAGCCAGAGAGGACATTAAAAACCTGCGCAATAAGAGCCTGCCCAACTGCACCGTGCAGCGTTATAGCACCCTGGCAGCGGTCGTCCCAATGGATTCACTTGCTGCTGAGATTGAAGGAACCTTCCGGAAAGGCCTAGACAGCCCAGCACCCACTGAATACAAGTTAGTCACCTGAGTACATATAGCAGCTATTCATATACTACAAAAATATATATTTAATTGTTTTACAATAAAATATCTAAAATACCTGTAAAACAAAAAATATATTTTTTAAATATTTAAACAAAAATATTAAATGTGATTGTGAGGGGAATATACAGTACTGTTCCAAAGTTTGGGATCAGTGAGATTTTTCTTTAAAGGGGTCATATGATGCTTTTCTCTTTGGATTTGAGACTTTAGTCTTTGCAACTTCAGGGATCTTATCTATGCACAATCAGCTTGTAACACTCCAAAGAGAAAGGAAAACTTGAAATCGCATCATATGACCCCTTTAAAGAAATGAAACATTCCGCAAGGACACATTAAATTGATCAAAAATAACAGCAGCAAATATATTTAAAACGCTTCAAAAGTTTTCTGTTTCAAGTAAATGCTGTTCTTTTGAATTTTCTACTTGTCAAAGAATCCTGAAAATGATGTATTAGGATTTCTACAAAAATATTAAGCAGCACAACTGTTTTCAGCATTGATAATAAATAAGAAATATTTCATGAGCACCAAATCAGCATATTAGAATGATTTCTGAAGGAATTCAGCTTTGCCAACACAAGAATAAAAAGTACATTTTAAAATATATTGAAATAGAAGTGGACCTCAGAGAACAGTACAACATAATAAAAAAGGCAGTTTCATGACCCCTTTAACGTTTAGATATTTTACTGTAAACATAATAAAAAGACTGATTTCTTTTTTGCAGTTCATTCAAATCCTAGTTAACATGTTTTGTATATAATGCATAGAAATGTTAATGTACTGTAAATGTACTATATGACCATGGACTGTAACATGGTGTGATTCTCTTGAATGTTTTACACAGGAATCATCCGCTGCGGGTGTTTGAGACCGTGAAGGTGGCCAATCAAGTAGCTCGGCTACGTTCTCAGATTCACTCTCCGCAGGTTCCGGGTTCGAGCCCTGCATCGTTACGCTCTAGTCGGATCAGTACACCACGGACCAGTTATTATGAATCAGACAATATTAGTGTCAACATGGAGGATAAGCACTCCCCTCCGACGCACACACAGGATCATGGGTCAGTGTCTATTTATTTTCAAATTTTCTCAAAAATTACTTCGACTATTATATTAAGAATGAATCAATTAATAATGACATATTTCCTGCATAGGTTACTGGAGTCGAAGCGTTTGGGCCAGCCAGGTACACCAGGTGGGCAGGATTTAGAGGAAGCGCTCCGGTCTCTTTCAGAGCGCCAGAAGAGCCACACATCAGAGCGGCCATTCTTCGAGGTGGAGAGAGAAAGGAAACTGCGCACCTTGCAGAGTGGAAGCAGCGGCAGTGGCGGTGGCTCCAGCGGCTTCCTGACGCCCAATGGCAGCGTTGCATCCACAGGAACTAACTACTCCGGCACCTCCACACATTCCTCAGGCACAGGCTCCTCCCGCTCGTACCTGCCTGAACGGCTGCAGATAGTCAAGCCTCTGGAGGGTCAGTCGATACGCACACATGTAGCTAAAATACAAGTCATGAAAGAGGGACATTTAGATCAACTCTAAAATTATGGCTGTCCAAACCACAAAATACAAATGTAAAAATAAAATAATTAACAAATTATTCAATAAAGATAAAAGAACAAATATAAAAATTACACAATTTTACAACCTAAATTGCCATGTCATATAAAGATCAAATTATGGGATATTTTAAAAGATTTATTTACTTTGACAAAGTCACACAGGGATCCTCTCTATGATATAATTCCCTATCATGTTACCGCATATTTTCCTGTCATGTTTCCGAATTTTTGGTGGATGAAAATGTATCAGATATTATCCCTGTAAAGCCAGATTTATGAAATAAGGGTCAGAATCTATTAAAAATGGAAGTTTATTGAACATTTAGACAAAAAAAAAAATTCTGATAGGTTGTAATGTAAATAAATGTGATCTTTATAAAATTGCTTATACAAAATGAATATAAATATCAGCTGTCACTCTATATATCTTAATTATATGTCTTAGTAAGATGATATTTACATGCTTAATTTTCTGTAGTTTTTATTGTGGGTGCAAAACATAATTCAATGCAATACAATTATGAGATGAGAGATGTACAAATAAATGTTCATCAAAAGCCTAATGTATCATATTTGATACTTATATTTTAACATGATTATTCTAAAACATGATATATGGATAATGAAGTAAACCCAAGTTGCATCATTTAAGTAAATTTTACCTTAAAATATTAATACAAAAAGATTATTCTAAACTATGTAATAAGGCTTTCTTTGAAAAATGTCATTCTTATAAAGAGCATTTTGACCTCAGGACAGTCGTACCACCCTGAGACTTATGCCCCCCTGAAAATATCAAAATGAATATTAATAGATCAGAAACAATTTTCTGACCAGTATACTTCATCTTGCCTCTGTCCACAGGCTCAGTGACTCTGCACCAATGGCAGCAGCTGGCCAAGCCCAATCTCGGTGGCATCCTGCACCCACGGCCGGGTGTCCTCACCAAAGACTTCAGAGAGCTGGATGTAGATTTTCAACATGTCTACAGCCTCAACGACCTCGAGGAAGATGAGCCTGATCTGTCCAAATTCCCCAACCTCCTGAATGGCACTGTGGGTAAGAGCCTGTTCACCTACAGCAACACATTTTCTTCTTAATTCTTTGGTTCGTTTGATTCTTGATGTACTATTTTTATAATCTTTCCCATGCTTCCTAGCTATTATCATGGTTTTATTCCACCGTGACTTCAGTGTAGTGCTGTAGGTAACTGTCATGCATAGCTGAGGCTTAGCGTGTATTTGTGTTTCCTCACATAAACGCAGTCCCTTCATCTGGACCTAACATCCCTCAGACCTCAAACACACCCCCGACCACTAGCTGTCAGATCCTCCACCCCTCTTCCCTCCTCTCCTCCTTCTCCACCAGGTAAGACATGATCACGCTGATGGCCACAGTGCTTATTGTAGGACTGTCAATCATCCATCAAAATTCTATTGATTTTTCTTTTTAATTGGGCATACGTATAACACAAGACAGTGGGTTTCTAATGGGTTTCGATGGGAATTCTAATTCTTCACTACATTGCGCAGTTCAGTCGTTGTTTTGTGTAATGTTAAAGCATTAAATTGACAGCCCTAATTCGTACATATCAAAACGATTTAAATGAGGCACTTGGGGAATATCAGAAATGTCTGTTCACAACCAAACATCATTTTAATATTTCATTTTTTCTTGCTTATTTTCCCTCCTTCCATCTGTAACCGGAAGCGCTGGAACCGGCTCTTTGTACAGTTATAAAACCGTCCTCCATAAAGTAAGGCGTACGCGTCAGGCATGGTCTCTTTGAACACTTTACTAGGATCATCTGTGAAATTGGGAAATCCATCCACTAACTTTCTTTCTCTCTAACCTTAGGTTTCATCCATGAACAAACATAATATGGTAGCATAGCAGCATCAGGACATTTTGTTACTAATTCCGTCTTCTCTCCTACAGATATAGGTTTAGGAATGAGTGCTGTTATGTCTCATTGCACATCTCTTTTAACATAATGCTTTTCTACTAAGGTCATGTTTTACTGGGGGAAATTAATGTAGTAAGATCATTCTCAGAAAATGCTGACGTTATGAATACAGTTCAATTCTCCCATAAAATTTGGGTGTTTTTTATTTTATTTTATATGATTGAAAGATGAATCGTAACACCAGTGACAAATTGTCATAAAAACAAATGTATAAAAATTTGAATTAATTTTACCCTTAAATATTTTTTTATAAATCTTTTACAACAGTGACACGTGTAAATTAACCAAGTGGGGAAAACAATTAAATTTAAAGGTATATTAATAACTTTTTTCAGCATCGTGGGAAAATCACCTTTGCACATTTAAACAGCCTCTGAACTTTGACCTTTATATATATACACACATGCCTTCAAAATACTAGTTTATAACATTGACAACACCAGTGACATTAAATAAATGGACAATAATTATTTTTAAATTATTTATATGATTTTTTTGGCTTTGACTTTTTGTACACTTGTTAGACTTTCACTAATGCTTCAGCTAAAATCTATTTTTAAAAATTATTCATTTATTTAATTTAAGTGATATACCAGCTGAAGAGGACTTTGGATTTTTCAGGCATCTGGCAAATAATTTTTGATGTGTAAAGTGTACGTAAAGTAAATAGATTCAGAACAATTTTATATTATCATTAAAATGTAGGATAGGGTATAAAATGAAAAAAAAAAAACCTTCTTATATGGGGTTTCCTGAATATCAGAAATCTTTTATCATGACTAAAATGTCATATTTTGAGAATGACTCACTAACACTAGACTGTTACATTCAAGTCTTTCTATAAATGCTGTTTACCAACTTGTGCAAGTCTCATCTTTACATTCTTTTATTTATCAGCATGATCATACATGTTATGCATTAACACTTGTGTCCTGCCCTGTTTATTTCTGGTCTGGTTTGGCTGACTAAAACTTCCCATGGAGCATCTGACATTGATTTTCCTTGTTCTTTCCCCAGCCTTCGGCCCCGCAGTGCATCCGCTTGTGGGAGCTGTGAGCACGTGAGGACGTCATCAGGCCTCCAGTGCGTCTCTGGTTCCACATCACACCTTCACCCGACCTCCTCCCTCGGTCTGCTACAACTTGTGTCAGAGCGCGGCATCTCAGCTGCAATTCATCCCAACTCCCCTCTCATTCACAGAGCCACCGCATCCTCAGAGGAAACACAATGGGGCTCTGCTGGAAGTGATCAGGAGAAAAGAGAAAAGGACTGGCAGGGAAACATTTTCAGCGTCAATCTTGTGGAAAAACTCAGAAGCTTGGGCCTGTACAAAGTGGTTGCCAGAGGCTTTGTGGATTCAAAGAGAAAAGCCAGCCCGCCCTGAAACACAAAAAGCCGTTCACCATTAAAGGTGCCATTTTGTGCATCACCCTCATTGTAGCACGCAGCTAAACATTTCCCATTTGTAATGGGGCATTCCGAAAGCCATATCAAGTTTTCATTTCCATAGTGACTTCTTTTGGCACTGGGAATTTAAAGTATGGACTGCACCTCAAAAAAAGATTTTATTATGAAGTCAAACACACCTGTTTTTTTGTATCATTGTTGTCATGGGTGCTTTAAACACTCTTCAGAAGGGAACAGCTATACATTTGTTGACTTTTTAACATGTCCTCCTTTGTTGAGACTTTGTCTTGTCACTATCAGTCTTGAAATCACTACTTTATTGTTATGAAATTGTTCTGTGTAGCAGCACTACAGAAAAATGCACTACGTGGCCTCAGTTTTTGCTTGCTGCCAATCAAGCATCAGTGTCAGTAGTGCGTTTTGCTTCCTGAGAAATACGTTTGTTCATAATAGCACTTTTCAGGGCATTCAGATCCCTTTTTTTAGGGAATGCTGGGTACATTATGTGAGGTTATGTACTGTACCTGCAGTCTAAACACTGTAAAAATTAGAGGCTGTATTTATGATGACTGTTGGTGGTCAATTTAGGGAACATGATACAGTCTTGTTGAGCGAATAGAAATGATCTTGTGCTTTACTTTCACTGTGCTTTAATGCAAGTACACCCATGCACACACATACACACACGTATGTCATGCAACTTTAATGTCACAGACACGTTTTCACCTGTAAAGTTTGTAGTGTATATGATTGTGTTTTACCAGAATCAGGGATGCAGTAATAAAGTTGACAGTTTCTGCTGCAATTAAGTAATTCTAACATTGAGTCATCGAGGGCTGAATTTATATCACTGGATTATTCATTGAACACAGCTAAAGTCTCAGAAAAGGAGGTTATTTAAAAAGTAATATATTTAAATAAAAATTTCTACCACTCTGTGTAAAACACAATGCCTGCCTGGTGGTCACCATTTTTGTAGAATATGTAAAGAGTTATTTAGAATAAAAATAAAGATGTCAAAATAAATAAATACAATTATGTAAAGAATTGTTAATTTACACAAGGATCAGAGGTTAAAAGTTGAGTAATCACTGTATTTTTAGATTAGAACAATGTTTAGCCTCGCAATGAATTAAAAGCCCCCGAGTTCACCATGTAACTGTTTCAGGCACTGATATTGTGTTAAATGGCAATAAAGATTTCAGTGTATTTTTGACCTGTATGCTTATCTTTGTGTGTTTATGTAGGTATTGTTGTGAAATTTTACTCAAAAATATTATGTATGGTAATAATTACAATCAATATGGTGATTGTTTTAATGATTATTTGATGTCTTAATATAGGCTGTGAGTCTTAGGTGCCCCCTACTGGGCAAGTATGGTGCTTTCCATTGGGCAGTGCCAATGAACTAGAGTGAACTATTGAACTTTGGGTGGCTTCCAAGAATATGTCAAGGATGGCACAAACAAGTATGACGAATGGCCATGAGGACACCTGCATCTAGGGAGAGAGGATGACCAAGCTTGAAATGGAAACTGCAGCCCAACATGTTCAACTGATCACTGATGCAAGCAGAAGAACTTCATCCTTTCCTAAGCAGCACAGCACATGTCCAATGATCACTAGAGACCACCTCAGATTTTCTTGATTGGCCATATTAATTGCATTTTGATTATTCTCTGGTTCCACAGCAGTTCTATGCATTCTATTAAACTAACAATCTTTATCTGCTTTCCTTCAATAGACTCCAGTCCAGCCATAATTAATAAATAAAAAAGGAGTGGAAGCTGAACGTTTGTTCGACTGTTCAGTTAACTAAAACTGGGACTGGGCTTGGCATAAGTGACAGCTATTGCATTGACCAACTAGGTAAATGCATAATTAGATAATTGATGATGATGATGCTGCGCAATAAGGAGAGAGATTTTGGGCTCTTCTTTTAAGAGAGAGATGATAAGCTTGTGTTACTGAGCTCTTTAAAAGGGGCCAAGATTTGTACAAGAACAAAAATGTGGATGATAAAGCTATGCTGGTCACTCTGTCTTGGTCAATAGTTCATTTTAAACCTAGATATAAAGCAATAACTCCAAAATTCCAAACTCAAGATATTGCAAATGCTGTCATTACCAGGGATTACGTGATGCTAATATTGTTGGCCATGGATCCAAGACTATGCGGAGATCTCCAGTCATTTAATAGAGCAATTACTGAGCAATAAGAAGATTATGAAGAGAAAGACCTACACAGACCTACCAGATAAATTCATACAGTATATTAGAGATTGGAAAAAATGGTTTATGACTGCAGTGTTTAATACAACCCCATGACAAATGACATCAGCCAGCTGTAAACATTCTGGGCCTGTAGCACAGGTGATGCCACATTGCCTATTTTCAGTAGCTTTGGATCAGTTATGTCATTAATTTAGAAGTGGGGGTATTCCCACCTTGATATTTAGGATGGATAATTGCACATAAAACTAAGACCAGAGTAAATTAGAAGGCATAAGCAAAGATACTCAACTGCACACTGTTGGACAATTGAGATACAAAAAGACATATGATTGCACAGGCAACATTTCTTGTTACTTCAGTTTCAGATGTGCATGGTTTTGACCATTGCACAAGGGGGGAAGTGATTGGAAAAATAAAACTTAGGTTGAAATTTGTATCCAAAACAATGTCAGAAAAGGTATGTACGTAGACTTATTTGGTCAACCAAGGGGAATACCAAATAAATTTAAAGTTAGCAATGAATTAAAATCTTTGAGTATATTTGTAAGGACAACTAGTGATATATAGAATATACTGTACACTGAACAAACTTATAAACGCAGCACTTTTGTTTTTGCCCCCATTTTTCATGAGCTGAACTCAAAGATCTAAGACTTTTTCTATGTACACAAAAGGCATATTTCTCTCAAATATTGTTCACAAATCTGTCTAAATCTGTGTTAGTGAGCACTTCTCCTTTGCCGAGATAATCCATCCACCTCACAGGTGTGGCATATCAAGATGCTGATTAGACAGCATGATTATTGCACAGGTGTGCCTTAGGCTGGCCACAATAAAAGGCCACTCTAAAATGTGCAGTTTTATCACACAGCACAATGCCACAGATGTCGCAAGTTTTGAGGGAGCGTGCAATTGGCATGCTGACTGCAGGAATGTCCACCAGAGCTGTTGCCCGTGAATTGAATGTTAATTTCTCTATCATAAGCCGTCTCCAAAGGCGTTTCAGAGAATTTGGCAGTACATCCAACCGGCCTCACAACCGCAGACCACGTGTAGTTGCTTTGACACAATCTGTATTATTAAAAGCGCTATATAAATAAAGGTGACTTGACTTGACTTGACTTACATTTGTTACAATCACTAGAAGTTCATTAACCACACTGTCATAGTAGTTGTTGTTTTGGTGTTTGTGTTGTTCTATTGTGTTGTGCCTTTTCTCAGATAAATGATGGCAATGCAGCAGCTAAGCAGATGATCAGTGTGTCTGTGAAACATCTGGAGTTGATATTGAGTCCACCAACATGTGCCCCATATAGTCCCTGGACTGGATGAATTGGACAAAATTGTGTAAAACCCCCTACAAATCAAGGAGTGGTAGGGAAGGGGTGCCTTTTATTTTCATTCATTAATTTTCTCTTTTATTGTTAATTTTGATAGAAAGGGAGTTAGTATTGTCATTGTATTTTCTTTTTTATATTATGTAGAGTTATTAGAATATTTGGGTAGAGTAGGCAGGAAGTTAGAGGGTGTTATTTTTATTATTTTGGCATAAGCCCCTTCCTGAAGTCATTTATACCTCAGGAAGGGGCTTATGCCAAAATAATAAAAATAACACCCTCTAGGGGTTTTTACACAATTTTGTCCAATTCATCCAGTCCAGGGCCTATATGGGGCACATGTTCTTGTTCTTTTTTTTAAGTCATATATTCCTGAAATCATTTGTGCTAGAATAATTCGTTTTGAAAATAATTTATTCTTTTAAATTAATCAAATGTAAAATGTGATTGTTTTGTGGGAAGACAAGGGACGGTGAAGGTTTTAAGCAGGTCATTGTCCGTGTTACGAGATAATGCAAACGGAAAATACCGGGGAGACGAAGAAAGACTGAATATTTACTTATTATTTGACAAGTAATCATCATTTAACCTTCATTATCAGTATATAGTTTGTGTCTTTTAACACTGGGAAAGTCAACATGGGAAGAAAGGATCGACGAGCACCTCAGTGCTTAGCAGCATGGGTAGATTCAACTGGAGGTTTAAAAACCGCTATCTACTCCAACACCAGATAGCGCTGGAGGGCAATAAAGTCTGCCTGAAAGCACCTCTGGCAGCGATGGCCAACATCACCAGATAGCACTCCAGGCTACCGGGAATGTCTGGAGTTCCTCTGACACCGTGGGACCAGATAGCACTCCAGGCTACCGGGAATGTCTGGAGTTCCTCTGGCACCGTGGGATAAACCAGTGCATCATTTATCACATTTTTGTTTATCAATATTAATTTTAATCAGTTTAATCATCTGACTAATCATTTATGTACTCTACATAACCATGACAACCATGGGCAAGGCTAAGACATTCCATGCACATGCTTTAATACACATTGATGATTTATTCTTGATTCATTGTTTTGACCTCCAAGAATGTATAGGTAGGGAAGCAGAGTCTTTTACTCTTCTAGTCAACTGTGGGGAGAGATGTTTGGCTCTGACTTCCTCCAGAGTGCAGCATCATGAGGAAGCCATTTGTTAAGAGGTACTGGAGGACCATTATTGATTCATAGATGGAAGGAAGAGGTGGACTCATGGTGTTGTCCTCTAGGTAAAGGGTTTAGAGGTGAGACTTGGTAAAGTCTCAGAGGGGGTAATGTGTTGTGACATTTTACTCAAAAAATATTATGTATGGTAATAATTACAATCAATATGGTGATTGCTTTAATGATTATTAGAAGTCTTAATATAGGCTGTGAGTCTTAGGTGCCCCCTACTGGGCAAGTACGGTGCTTTCCATTGGGCAGAGCCAATTTTTGATTTGCCCCCCTCAGATTTTTGAGCCAAGTGGATTTTGAATGCAGCTTCCAAAAGACAAAACATAGCCGATTAATATGTTCTATATTTAATACAATCACACCGGCGTGATTATAACGTCCAGTGCGTCATATCATCAGCTGCTAAATTTAAATCTGCGTTTGCTGGCTGGCGCTGAGCCAGATACAGACACGTTTTTACAGCACTGCGCATTAACCAATCACACACGATGCTGTTGAGCTTATGAATGCAATGACCAATCAGAGGTGTTCAGATGAGTCATCGCTAAAATGCCAGTGTTTTCTTCACTGGCTCGCTGACTGAATACCTCTTTCTGGCGAATTCTCTCGTTAGAAACAACAAAGTGCAAATGTGTGTACGAATCTGTAAGATATTAATTTCACAGTGTGAACACCTTAAGTGATTTTAATGGGAGTTTTTGAGAGTGCTTGAACTAGACTGTCAGTGAATGTTCTTTGATAATGTAAATGTTCTTTGCTCTCTTTCTGTACAATGAAAGTGTTATGATTAGCCTAACTTGCAATATTTTTTATTAAAATTAACTTTCAATGTTAAATTCACATTAAATATAAACTCAGTCGTATTAAAAATATGTTATGGCATGACATCCATATCTGTTAATTAAGTAAACAGACTTAATTTGATTAAATGATTAGGTTACTTTGACCATCGCCCACTATAGATTAACATAATCTAGGTGAGAATCAAGATATTTCATGATATAGTTAATGCGTTTGGGGATGTTTCCAATAAAAAGGAAAAAATAAATAGAACATAAGTGCTGTTGTGGCTGCTGTGTGTATAGTCTTTTAGTCTCTTATGCATTTTTTTAATATAACTTGCCAAACCTGAGAATTGAGTCCAAAGGCTTCCACACCATTCCTAGTAATTTGCGTAACTTTAATTCATAGGACTGGAATGCTAATTGTGAATGAGCGTGCATGCGCGCCCTATTTACGAAAGATTGGAATTCATTTAACTACTATCATATCTGACCTTTACGAAGTATTTGTGAATCCGGAGGAGAGTTTTCTGGTAAATTACTCTTCTTCTTCTAATAACGTTTTATGGTTAAAAAAAAAAAACATTCCTAAATTCTCATGATTAATCCTATTTCTTTAATGTATTTAACAATAGCACCATATATTTTACCTTGTTCTGCATGCTCTTTCAAAAGGCTTGACAAATTAAATGATTCAACACCCATGTTTCTTACTTCCTTAATGAGTTTTAACCTTTCTTTTTCATAGTTTTTTTTTTTTTTACATTTTATTAAAACATGCTCTGTTGTTTCTGCATGATTACAAAAAATACATTGATCTGCTTCATGTTTTCCTATATTAAACAGAGAGTGATTTAATCTAGTATGCCCTATTCGGATGTGAGAAATAATTGTATCTTCTTTCCTATTCCTAAAAACACTTCTTCCATTTCCTACTTGCTGCTGAATATTATACATTTGTCTGCCCTTGCTATCACAGTTCCATACTTCTTGCCATTTTTTGTTTATAAATTATTTTGTTAAATTACTCAGAATTTACTCATCGTCTTGTATACATCCTTGTACGTTACACACCTAGTGGTATGGATGCAACATCATACACACACACACACACACACACACATATATATATATGAAATATGAAATTAATTCGCACCGGATGACACACACACGCACATATATATATAGTTGCAAATATATTTAATGACAAAGATCAACAGAGTTTTTACTACTTTGCATACAGTCTCAGTTTGTACTCCGGCGCCCAAAATCTACCCAGCCTTGATAATCTGTAACGCAGTCCTCCCGTTGGATGATTTCTGCCAAAAACACGAACAGCAAGTAAGAGTGAGGCTTCGTTTCTTCGAATGTTTCTACTTCCAGAGACACGCACCTGATAGTGCCTGTAAGAGTTGCCGGGACACGAGCTCGCGCTGATCCGCCGGTATATGCACGGAACGACTCACACGGGACTCCAGTCTCTCGGGTGTCTCAGGCGGTCTCTCCGGAAACTGTTCCTTCGCCTTTGTGTTCGCAGCTGTGTCTTTGTACAGAGGAGAGGCCACACATGCCACCGCCAACATCGCTATAGCAGTCAATACAATGCACTTGGCCATCATTTCTGTGAAAAAAAAAAAAGTGTTTACAATAATGAGTGTTTGTATCAAATTAAATTAACCATAAAAATGTCCACATTCCTGCTGGAAATCCAACTTAAAGTCCCCCTGTAGTCAATGCAAGTTAGCGGTTCTAAATTCACATTAAACCACAGCTTCATGGGTTTTTTGCTCTGATTTATTTTTGGTTTTGAGTTTTTATTAGTTTCATTAATATTGTTGTTAGTTTTAGTTTAGTTTTTATTTTGTGAACACATTTTTAAGAAAATACACAGCAATGGTGTTGATTAATAGATTGGCACATGGTTTGTCTAAAAGCATATTAAAAACACCACATAGACAAATAAACAACATAAAAAACTTGATTTTCACTACAGGGGGACTTTAAGTTGTTAGCGCAACAAATTTGGAAATGGTTTCTAGCTGGTTCAGTCAGGTTTTTAATTGATCTACTAGCCATGTTGTCCAAGACCCAGTTGAAATGACCACTTGGTAGCTTGTTTGTTGCTGATCCAAGATGGTCTGCCAGCTTTAAACCAACTGAAGACCAGTTTGGACCAGCTTATTCATTCCAATGACCAGCTAGAAACCACCTAAAATATTACAGAAAAAACAACAACACCATTTCAAGATAGTTTCTTCAGCATGGCAATATTAAACAATAAGAAAAAGCAGATTTACCTGAATATTCCTCAGCCTGAAACTGTTTAGACAGAATAAAACCTTAATCCAAAATAACAGCTGCATGCAGTCCCTTTATATTACATTTGTTCAGGTTAAAAAAGGTGTGAATCAATGGAGTCAGGTCATTATTGTTCAGGAGGAGGAGCATGTTTAAACAATACGTCAAACATGACAGTAAAATGAACATGGGAAATTCAATAGTTAGTTCTGAGAATTTAACATAGCAAACATTACCAAACCAAATGATCAGGAAAGTCATAGGAAACAGCATTCAAATGAATTTGACCTCTAAAAAAGAATTAGCAGTGGATTTTTTATTCGCGTCAGCATCCGAGTTCTCATCTAATCAATTGTCCTAATGTAATATTATATGATGTGCCATCAATAAGTGACCTTTTTTAAAACTGTCTTATTGATTCAAATGAACTGATGGAGAAAGGCTGTGACAGAGCTTTTGATTTTATTGCCGAGGAGGAGTCTGTTGATTCCTTTCAGAACCATTAGTTTTATGTACCTAAAGATTTTATTCAAGAACACAATTCTCTGCTATCGTGCGAGTCTGAGGTGAACAAACAATTGCCAGTCCACTGTTGAATGCATAGCCATAAGGTATATGACATCAGATGCTGCTCAATTCGATGTGTCGCATCCTTCTTAATTTCCACTTTCCACTTTTCCATATCTTTAGCATTGGCTAATGATGACATAATGGCAATCACATTTTGTCCAATCTATTCATTTGTGGAAAACATATTAAACATCCAGTTCACATACAATGACTGAAACAAACCACTTCTATGTTGAGCATGTTTCTAATTTCTGAATTAAATTTCATTATTTTATTTTATGCATAAAGTAAAAAAATCAGGATGAAACAACTGTTCTGTTATCATAATTAAATAAAAAGCCTAATTACAAGAATGAAATGATTGAAAAGAACAACCTTTAAAGGGATAGTTCACTCATTATTTACTCACCCTTTTGTTGGTCCAAACCTGTATGACAAATAAAAATATTCTGAGGAATATCGGTAACCAAACAGTTTGGTTACGACTGAATTTCATTGTAGATACAATAATAACCTCAAAATATTTTCTTTTATGTTCCACAGAAGAAAGAATGTCATACAGGTTTCCACCGACATGAGGGTGAGTAAATGATGACAGAATATTAATTTTAAAAAATATTTCAACAAAACTGCTTCACTATTAATATTTAAAAAGCCTGTGTCTGCAAACCCAAAATCATGTGTTTCAAAGTCCTGGAAAAACCTATTTAAAGCATTTTTGAAATTACACTCTATACAAATGATTTTCATTACTCCAATGAAAGATGCATTTAAGTGACAGATTTTGGAAATCTACCAAAGTGGAATACATGCTTTTACAAGCAAAAACCCACCGAGTGAAAGATTTTCTTCAGAATGGGCCAGGCCTCACGAATCTGCACGCAAGTTCTGACAGTAGAAGTCAAAATAGTTTTGACAACATGGTTACCAATGAATTTCCATTCACTCACTTCACTCACATTCACTCAAAAGTCAACAGGTATATCCCCTAACTGTCAACAGCACCAGCTAATCTGATTTATCAGGGGTTACATCTGTACATTTCAAGAGATGGTGATCTGGCGTGGTACACTCTTAAAAATAAAGGTGCTTCAAAAGGTTCTTCAAGCGATGCCATAGAAGAACCATTTTTGGTTCCACAAAGAACTATTCAGTCAAAGGTTCTTTAAAGAACCATCTCTTTCTTACCTTTTTATAATCTGAAGAACCTTTTTTCGCCCCAAAGAACCTTTTGTGAAACAGAAAGGTTCTTCAGGTGTTAAAGGTTCTTTATGGAGCCATTTAGACAAAAAGGTTCTTCTATGGCATCGTGAAGCACCTTTATTTTTAAGAGTGTAGTTAAGAGATTAGTTTTTACTTCATTCTGAAACATGAATCCATCGATGATTGATAGTTATTTATCAGGTACATCACATTTGAGTGTTTTTTTCCCCCAAGATTAGGGAAGATGTGGTTGTGGTGAATACACAAAGTAAACAAACATCTGAAAATGGGTTTAAGATGTTGGCCTAATACTGTCACATGTATATGTATAATTAATGGTTGCATTCAAAAGAAGAAAAAGTTATAGTTTTTCATAAATGCCACTGTTAATACTTTGAACTGGCAAATGTCCAATACAAACAATCAGTTTATACAATAGTAAAATAGTTAAAGATGTAATCTCTCTAAGCCACAAATCATTTTACAGGTTTTTGAAGGTCAAGGGTGTGATAGCAGGTTTTTGAAGTCAATGGTTTTAATTTGCATCTGGGCACAGGCGGGTCTCGCTCACATTCCATCTATTCACTGGAACTGGAAATCTGACACCGTGTGGGATGCAGCAGGGCTATATAAGACAATCTTTAGTGCAAATTAGTTTAGGTGTTTAGTTTCGACATTGAAGGACATACTAACTTAGATCTTCTCACTCAGCCATGTCGGTTCGTCACAGTAGTAAGACGTTCACCACTCGGAGTGTGTTCGGGTCATCTGGCCTGGGTTCCTCTGGTGGATTGGTCATGAACGGATTGGGGAGTTCAGGGGCCTCTTTGTCTTTCAGTGGACAAAATTATGGCAGCGCTGGGGGCTTTGGTGCCCGCATCTCCAGATCTTTGTCCACTTCATCCTTGACGACGGCTGGTTATGAGGTCACGTTGCATGCCAATGAGAAGCAGACAATGCAGAACCTCAATGACCGCCTGGCATCTTACCTGGAGCGGGTAACACACCTTCTTTTGGTTAACTTGAAAATGTAACAGAAATGACATCTTATCTTCTTCTAATGAATACTGATGAATGTTTTTTAAAACACATATTTATATAAAAAATCTATACTTAAATATTTTTTACAGTTAGTGTATAAAGTCAATAACAAAGTAATTTCTTAAATATTAACTTTTTAAAAATAAAATAATTTTACTTAATAAATGTTATCTTGTAAAAGTCGGACTAGAATCCTAAATGATTTTTTAATATAAGAGAGTGTTCTTCTTTGTTATGGACCAATGCATTTAATAAATGTATTAATTATACATCATATTCTATTTCTTTCATATTCGTATACATTTAATTGCATTAGATTTTTTTTTTAGAAAAAAAATTAAATAGTGAATTTAGTGAATTTGTTAATTTTACGTTTTAGTAACATTGAAATGCATTTGGGTTACTGTATGTGGATAAAGTTGTGGTCAAATGTTCATATAATCATTTATAATGGTTTTAGGCTTAATTAAAAAATTACAATAATTTTATTTCTGTAATTCTAAATCATATCTATATTTTTGAATTTCCTAAAATCAAAAGATACAAGATTGAACATTACAAATTCAGCTGCATTCATCCTTGAGTTTTTATGTGTCATGCTTCCGTCTAGTCTTTAATGATTTTCTGAAGGTCTGCGCATGTGTTTTGTGTTTTAGGTGCGCTCTTTAGAGCAGGCCAACAAGAAACTTGAGCTGCAAATTAAGGAGTTTTATGACAACAAGATGCCGATGCAGAGCAAAGACATGAGTGCTTATTTCAAAACCATTTTGGAGCTCCGCACACAGGTAGAGCTGCTGTCAATCATCAGAAGGATCACACCCCTGAACTGACAGAAATGGCATGAGGTGAACACTGCCTCACCCAATGCCATTATGCCATGCTTTGTGTTTCAAATATCATAAATACCACAGGGCAATCCTGTTCACAAAATGTTTAGCATGTTTACAGCTGATGTTAACAAAAACCTAAAATACAGTTTCGTTTAAGAGTAATTTTCCCCCTATTTTTAATGCATGCATAATATTGTTATGCTAATTTGAAAGATATATTAACATCCCTTGATTAACCACACATTCCCATTTGTCCAAAGATTAACAGCCGTTTTATGGAGAACGCTAAGCTCCGTCTGAAGCTGGACAACACCAGGCTCACAACTGAAGATTTTCAGCTGAAGTATGTGATGTGTAACCCAACACGTTCACATTTTCAGATTGCAGATTTCTTTTTAATTTGGAGTAGAATTATACAGCATATTCAATTTTCAGTAGTGGTTGCTTCTTCTTCAGGATTATAACTTATGAAATAGCATATATTCCTTTTTCTCCTTGGCTGTGGCAGGTATGAGACTGAAATGAACCTGCGTATGGTTGTGGAAGCGGATTCGGCTCGAATGCGGGGGGTTCTGGGAGAGATCAAGTTTACCATTGGAGATCTAGAGAACCAACTTACTGGACTGAAAGAGGAGCTGCTGTACCTCAAGAAGAGCCATGAAGAGGTCACCTTCCCATTTGACTGTAATCTCTCAAATTTATTAACCAATTATTTCACAAGAACAGTTTTTGGAAGAATTATTGCTCTTTTCTCTCCTCTTTTCCACAGGATCTGCATTTGTTGCGAGAGCAGCAAAGCGGCTCTGTTAACGTGGAGATGGACTGTGTATCTCAGTCAGACCTTGACAAGGAGCTGCAGGAGATGAGAGCTCAATATGAGATGCTTATTGAGAAAAACCGCAGAGAGGCTGAAAGATGGTTCCAGAGCAAGGTGAGCCAGTAGGACAAGTTCACGTCTTCACCTTCAAGAAAACAATATATAAAAGATATAAAAAGAGTGGAATGTAATTCATTGTCTCATTGTTTTTTTTTTTAAAGGGGTCATATGATGTTAACTTTTATAAAGAATATCTCTTTGGATTTGAGACTTTAGTCTTTGCAACTTTACAGATCTTCTTTATGCACCAAGAGCTTGTAA